CGAGCCTCCCGGCCCGCGGCCGTCCCGCCTCTGCGCCCGCAACCTGCGCCCGGCCCGCGGACCGGGAGGCGCGCTCGCGGGCCCGGCGAAGCGCCGCTTCCGTTAGGGAGACCGGGATTGCTCGCACAGGCCCGCGCCGCGTCGGGGCAGCAGAGTGCGGGGAAGGCTAGACGTTTGCTGGGAGGCGCGCGGTTCCCGGGGGCTCAGCACGCGCCACGCGGTGCAGGCAAGTGTGGCCCCAAGAGTCACCGTGGCAGCGGCCGCCGGGGCAAGCTGGCTTGTGAAGTTGCACGAGTAGGCTGAGGCAGGAGGGTGGTGGGCCTGGGCGCGCCTCCCAGCTTTCCAGATGCTTTTCTGCTGCGGCTCCACAGTTCACTTACACATCGATCCGTTCATGTTTGCCACCTGCTGTGGGTTGAAAACCTGTGTGTCCAGAACTTTAAAAATTGTACCTGCAGCTGGACGAGGTGGCGCCTGTCATCCCAGCCCTCGGGGACTGAGGCAAGAGGATTGCCGCAAGTTTGGGAAGAGCCTGGGCGACATAGTTCAGGGGTAGCCTCAACTATACGGTGAGACCGAGTAACCAAAATAATAATAAACACATTTAAAAAATTGTAACTGCTTAGCATGAGTAGGGCCGTGGGTTCAATCCCCACAGAAAAGAAAGGAGGGGAAGGGAGAGGAAGAGGAGGGATGAAATTGAGCCAAAAATACGCGAAAATACGTGCAGATTCTGAGTTGCAAGCCGGGTGTGGCAGCCCACACCTCTAATCCCAGCACTTGCGGCTGCGGCAGGAGGACCTCCATGAATCTGAGGACAGCCTGGGCCTCATAGCAAGACTCCTGTCTCAAAACATTAAAAGGAACAGCAGCACTTCCGTACTTCTTTTAAAGAAATGGAAAGTGTTTTTGCAAAAATGCCCCAAGGCCGTTCAGCCTGCCGTTCTTTCCGGTCTCATGCCAGCCTGACTTGCTCTTCCCTGTTCTGAGCTCCTTTCCGTCATGTCTCCATCTGCATCTTGCATATGTGCCTTGTATGATTTCTTAAGTCATGACTGTGCATGTTTGTGATTCTTTCCTCGGGAAGCCTGGACAGGAAGCAGCACACAGGATGCCCTCAGTGTGTGTTTCCCTGGACAGGCACCTCCGTCGGGAGATGGACCCGTGAGGGCGCCATCTACAGTCCTGGAGCGCCTGCTGCTGACTTGCGGGGTGACCTCTCACTTGCTGGCATCTGATCTCCTTAGGTCCCTGGGCGCCCTCCGAAGGTCCAGTGGGTCCTAGGCCAGTCCGTGTCCTTGGCTCCCCGACCTGTGATGGGGCCTGTTTTCCCCAGATCCAGAGCAGCAGGGCCGGCCCATCACTAATGGAAGCTTCCACGACTGCACTTCACAGTGCTTTTCTGTCTGCAAGTGGACGATCTCGGGTGTCTGTTGCATTCTCTGTAGGGTCCATCTGATAGTTCTTCAGTTAAATTCTGGTTGTGCAGCTCTGGCCGGGGTACCCCAGAAGGATGTCCGCTTATCAGCCCAGCTGAGCCCCTCTTCACATCCTGCAGTGTTCTGGTCTGCCTCCCTCCCGGCTGGTACCCACCTCTCCCGTCCCATCCCGGGCTCCCGGAAGCCCTGGACCCTCACAGCCTCATTCCTCGGTGCCTCATGTAACCCGCTCCTCCCACACCTTAGGCGGTGACCCCTTGTCCAGCCCAACCCCACCGTCCTGGCTTTTCTCTGAAATACTTTATTATTCGCACCGTGCCCTTTGGAAAACATGAAGTCCCTGGTTCACAGGGCACCTGGTGCATGATACGTGCTCACTAACACTTGGGGAATTGCTGGCTGCGCTGCTGTTGACCCCTGCTGAATACAGATAGAGTAACTGAAACAGGGACATTGCATTCTAATCAAGAGAGTGCAGCTTAAACATGCTTGTGTAGCAGAGCCCTGATGGGTAAGCAGCTACTGAGACCTTCGCTGCCAAGCACAGGCCCGGGCTTTCCTGCCTCGCAGTTCCTGGACACATTCTTTGAGAAACGATAAGGAGCTGTTCTCTCAGGGTTCCGCAAGATGCATGTGACCTCGAGGCAGCCCAGAATTGCTTTTCCCAGGATGTATAAGGAGAGATGGGTCAGGGGCCCGTGCCGTCCGCACATCCGCGTGTACGCTCAGCACAACTTGAGGATCTTGTTTTAAATTACAGCTGGTTGCTGGGCGTGGTGGCGCATGCCTATAGCCCCAGCACCTGGGAGGCTGAGGCAGGAGGATCGCCATGCCTTCCAGACCAACTTGGGCTACATATATATATGAGTTCAGGGCCAGTTTGTACTACACAGTGAGACCTTGTCTCATAAATAGCAACTGGTTGCCTCCCTGTGAAAACCAAGGGGCTCTAAAACGCATCCCTGATTCCTGAATGCTCTTCTGTTCAAGAGGCAGTCCATAAGCTCACCCTGGACTTGAGGCCTCTGGTTGATGTGGTGACAGGGCAGAGCCCTGGGGTTGGGTCTGTTGCCTTGGGACAGCAGGTGACCAGCCTACAGGACAGCCAGCCCTGCTGCCAGGCTCCTGCAACAGTAGCTGAGGTCCCCAGGGGAGTGTGGACCTGCCAGCTGCGAGCACCAGCTCACACCTGTGTGCAGCTGGGTGGCACCTGCAGGCGTGACATCTGGCCAGGTATGGCGCTGCCAGGAACCTGGCTCACATAGACTAAAGTTGGGGCGTTGACTGGGACCAGGTGCAGCGGTACAGAGGCTTGCGTGCCGTGCACCAGGCCCCCGCTGCCCCTTCTGGTTCTTTGCATTTATGCAGTGCAGTGGGGAGAGCCCAGCGCCTCAAGCGTGCCAGACAAGTGCGGTCCCGCTCCGCTGAGCTCCCAAGCTCTGTGTGCTTGAACTCACCAACTCCCAGCCACCTCAGCCTCACAAATGCCAGGAGTGCAAGCATGCACCCAATGCCTGGCTCCATCCACTTCCGTAATCTATGGTGCAGTGAGAGATACAACCCCAAAATTAAGACGTTGTGGGTAGAAATCTAGATCTGGTTTCCTCTGAGAATCTGAGACGGGCAATATTGGGCGCAGCTGAGCTGTGGCTGCTGCAGGGTGGGGGAACCCTGGGGACTCGGCCCCCTGACCCTGCATCTGATGTCAGCACCTTTGCCTGTGGCGCCCCTGAACCCTAGCGATTCTAAGGCATAGTGAGGGAAGGTCCCGCTTCTCCCTGCAGCCTTCAGCCTCCACACGGTGGATGAGCACCTGGTTTTTGTTTGTTTTGTCTTTTTGAGACAGGGTCTCACTGTGCAGTTTAGGCTGGCCTTGAGCTCACTTTGTAGCCTAGGCTGGCCTTGAACGCACAGTGACCCTCCTGCCTCAGCCCCTCGAGTGCTGGGATTACAGGAGTGCACCACCACACCTGGCT